GAACCCCTTAAAATTTTTTGAAAAAATTAGAAATGTCTGTTTTGCAACTTGAGATGGCCAGAAAGATTCGCCTGTTAATGCAGATCAAGAATATATATGATTTATAGGGTCGGAAATGGCTCCTTCACTGATAAAAATTATATTTTCCTCTGCAAGATTCCTAAAATCGAAATTTTTACTTAATAATTTTTTAATACTTTTTGGGACAGTCGAAGTTTAAAAATCTCATAACTTTGTCAAAAATGCATTAATTTCAATTCGGAAACCGCTCCCGTGTTAGTTGTTTGACGCTTAACAAATCTGCATACTAAATTTAAGGTTTTAAGAAATCCAATTATTTTTTAGATTTTTCACAATTTTAATGATGGAACCCCTTAAAATTTTTTGAAAAAATTAGAAATGTCTGTTTTGCAACTTGAGATGGCCAGAAAGATTCGCCTGTTAATGCAGATCAAGAATATATATGATTTATAGGGTCGGAAATGGCTCCTTCACTGATAAAAATTATATTTTCCTCTGCAAGATTCCTAAAATCGAAATTTTTACTTAATAATTTTTTAATACTTTTTGGGACAGTCGAAGTTTAAAAATCTCATAACTTTGTCAAAAATGCATTAATTTCAATTCGGAAACCGCTCCCGTGTTAGTTGTTTGACGCTTAACAAATCTGCATACTAAATTTAAGGTTTTAAGAAATCCAATTATTTTTTAGATTTTTCACAATTTTAATGATGGAACCCCTTAAAATTTTTTGAAAAAATTAGAAATGTCTGTTTTGCAACTTGAGATGGCCAGAAAGATTCGCCTGTTAATGCTGATCAAGAATATATATGATTTATAGGGTCGGAAATGGCTCCTTCACTGATAAAAATTATATTTTCCTCTGCAAGATTCCTAAAATGGAAATTTTTACTTAATAATTTTTTAATACTTTTTGGGACAGTCGAAGTTTAAAAATCTCATAACTTTGTCAAAAATGCATTAATTTCAATTCGGAAACCGCTCCCGTGTTAGTTGTTTGACGCTTAACAAATCTGCATACTAAATTTAAGGTTTTAAGAAATCCAATTATTTTTTTATTTTTCACAATTTTAATGATGGAACCCCTTAAAATTTTTTGAAAAAATTAGAAATGTCTGTTTTGCAACTTGAGATGGCCAGAAAGATTCGCCTGTTAATGCAGATCAAGAATATATATGATTTATAGGGTCGGAAATGGCTCCTTCACTGATAAAAATTATATTTTCCTCTGCAAGATTCCTAAAATGGAAATTTTTACTTAATAATTTTTTAATACTTTTTGGGACAGTCGAAGTTTAAAAATCTCATAACTTTGTCAAAAATGCATTAATTTCAAGTCGGAAACCGCTCCCGTGTTAGTTGTTTGACGCTTAACAAATCTGCATACTAAATTTAAGGTTTTAAGAAATCCAATTATTTTTTAGATTTTTCACAATTTTAATGATGGAACCCCTTAAAATTTTTTGAAAAAATTAGAAATGTCTGTTTTGCAACTTGAGATGGCCAGAAAGATTCGCCTGTTAATGCTGATCAAGAATATATATGATTTATAGGGTCGGAAATGGCTCCTTCACTGATAAAAATTATATTTTCCTCTGCAAGATTCCTAAAATCGAAATTTTTACTTAATAATTTTTTAATACTTTTTGGGACAGTCGAAGTTTAAAAATCTCATAACTTTGTCAAAAATGCATTAATTTCAATTCGGAAACCGCTCCCGTGTTAGTTGTTTGACGCTTAACAAATCTGCATACTAAATTTAAGGTTTTAAGAAATCCAATTATTTTTTAGATTTTTCACAATTTTAATGATGGAACCCCTTAAAATTTTTTGAAAAAATTAGAAATGTCTGTTTTGCAACTTGAGATGGCCAGAAAGATTCGCCTGTTAATGCAGATCAAGAATATATATGATTTATAGGGTCGGAAATGGCTCCTTCACTGATAAAAATTATATTTTCCTCTGCAAGATTCCTAAAATGGAAATTTTTACTTAATAATTTTTTAATACTTTTTGGGACAGTCGAAGTTTAAAAATCTCATAACTTTGTCAAAAATGCATTAATTTCAAGTCGGAAACCGCTCCCGTGTTAGTTGTTTGACGCTTAACAAATCTGCATACTAAATTTAAGGTTTTAAGAAATCCAATTATTTTTTAGATTTTTCACAATTTTAATGATGGAACCCCTTAAAATTTTTTGAAAAAATTAGAAATGTCTGTTTTGCAACTTGAGATGGCCAGAAAGATTCGCCTGTTAATGCTGATCAAGAATATATATGATTTATAGGGTCGGAAATGGCTCCTTCACTGATAAAAATTATATTTTCCTCTGCAAGATTCCTAAAATCGAAATTTTTACTTAATAATTTTTTAATACTTTTTGGGACAGTCGAAGTTTAAAAATCTCATAACTTTGTCAAAAATGCATTAATTTCAATTCGGAAACCGCTCCCGTGTTAGTTGTTTGACGCTTAACAAATCTGCATACTAAATTTAAGGTTTTAAGAAATCCAATTATTTTTTAGATTTTTCACAATTTTAATGATGGAACCCCTTAAAATTTTTTGAAAAAATTAGAAATGTCTGTTTTGCAACTTGAGATGGCCAGAAAGATTCGCCTGTTAATGCTGATCAAGAATATATATGATTTATAGGGTCGGAAATGGCTCCTTCACTGATAAAAATTATATTTTCCTCTGCAAGATTCCTAAAATCGAAATTTTTACTTAATAATTTTTTAATACTTTTTGGGACAGTCGAAGTTTAAAAATCTCATAACTTTGTCAAAAATGCATTAATTTCAATTCGGAAACCGCTCCCGTGTTAGTTGTTTGACGCTTAACAAATCTGCATACTAAATTTAAGGTTTTAAGAAATCCAATTATTTTTTAGATTTTTCACAATTTTAATGATGGAACCCCTTAAAATTTTTGGAAAAAATTAGAAATGTCTGTTTTGCAACTTGAGATGGCCAGAAAGATTCGCCTGTTAATGCTGATCAAGAATATATATGATTTATAGGGTCGGAAATGGCTCCTTCACTGATAAAAATTATATTTTCCTCTGCAAGATTCCTAAAATGGAAATTTTTACTTAATAATTTTTTAATACTTTTTGGGACAGTCGAAGTTTAAAAATCTCATAACTTTGTCAAAAATGCATTAATTTCAATTCGGAAACCGCTCCCGTGTTAGTTGTTTGACGCTTAACAAATCTGCATACTAAATTTAAGGTTTTAAGAAATCCAATTATTTTTTAGATTTTTCACAATTTTAATGATGGAACCCCTTAAAATTTTTTGAAAAAATTAGAAATGTCTGTTTTGCAACTTGAGATGGCCAGAAAGATTCGCCTGTTAATGCTGATCAAGAATATATATGATTTATAGGGTCGGAAATGGCTCCTTCACTGATAAAAATTATATTTTCCTCTGCAAGATTCCTAAAATCGAAATTTTTACTTAATAATTTTTTAATACTTTTTGGGACAGTCGAAGTTTAAAAATCTCATAACTTTGTCAAAAATGCATTAATTTCAATTCGGAAACCGCTCCCGTGTTAGTTGTTTGACGCTTAACAAATCTGCATACTAAATTTAAGGTTTTAAGAAATCCAATTATTTTTTTAGATTTTTCACAATTTTAATGATGGAACCCCTTAAAATTTTTTGAAAAAATTAGAAATGTCTGTTTTGCAACTTGAGATGCCCAGAAAGATTCGCCTGTTAATGCTGATCAAGAATATATATGATTTATAGGGTCGGAAATGGCTCCTTCACTGATAAAAATTATATTTTCCTCTGCAAGATTCCTAAAATGGAAATTTTTACTTAATAATTTTTTAATACTTTTTGGGACAGTCGAAGTTTAAAAATCTCATAACTTTGTCAAAAATGCATTAATTTCAATTCGGAAACCGCTCCCGTGTTAGTTGTTTGACGCTTAACAAATCTGCATACTAAATTTAAGGTTTTAAGAAATCCAATTATTTTTTAGATTTTTCTCAATTTTAATGATGTAACCCTTACAGGTCGCGTGTCGCCGGCTGCAGGATAAGCAAATATGGCCATTTAATCCGAGGCCACAACAACGGAGCAGAAACTACAAATTGGTTTAGGCATTCATTTGCCGCCTAAGTGGCCAGCAATCGGAGGAGTCCCTTCATACCCACTCACGGCACTCATCCCCTTTGTATAATAAAACCCGAAAGGCGTGGGTTTTGTTGCAGCCTGAAAGTGTGTAATCAACAAATGAGATTTGTTTAAAATTCTACTTTCTGCAAAAGTGTAAAATATATATATGTGTAAAATTAATAAACTAAATAATTAATAAATACAATAAAGAATAATTTTAGAAATAAATTGGGCAAATCAAATGTTTAAAATTTTATAACTAGGGCAAAAAAGCATTAATTTGTATTTGGAAACCATCTATATGTTAGTTTTTAGGCGGGTAATAATAGTCAATTTTTACAGAATTTACAGAAAATTAAATTTTTGTCAATTATTGAACATTTGAACGATGTTACCCCTTATAAAATTGTGAAATTTCTAAAATAATTTTATTTTTTGGCTGGACATGGATAGATCGATTCGGCTGTTTTTGCTGATCACGAAAATATATAGTTTATAGGGTCGGAAATGATTTTTAACCATTTTATAACAAAAATAAAGATATTGTATTTATTCAAATTTGGCGGTTTTCTATATGACAGTTTTCTACATGGCAGTTTTCTACATGGCGGTTTTCTACTTGGCGGCAACTGATCGTCTGTTTAAATTTGAAATGGCCGGTCAGTTGCCGCCATACAGAGTAACAGCAAAAATTGTTGTTGTTGTAAAAAAAATTTTTGTTGTTGTAAAAACAAATTGTTGTTGTAATTTGTTGTACAATAATTGTTGTTGTTGTTGTAGGCTATAGCGACGCTTCAATTTGGTGCAAAACCATCGATTTCAGGTTTGAGGTACCAGGCGAACAGAAATCAGCAGCAAGCAACTGCATTTTTGGTGGTCAAGAGTTGCCAGATCGATGGCATATGCGATCGATCTGGCACCATTAGGCAGTCAAGCGTTGCCGGATTGATGGCATATGCGATCGATCTGGCACCATTAGGCAGTCCAGCGTTCCCGGATCGATGGCGCATGTGATCGATCTGGCAACTCCTGACCACCAAAAATGCAGTTGCTTGCTGCTGATTTCTGTTCGCCTGGTACCTCAAACCTGAAATCGATGGTTTTGCACCAAATTGAAGCGTCGCTATAGCCTACAACAACAACAACAATTATTGTACAACAAATTACAACAACAACAATTTGTTTTTTACAACAAAATTTTTTTTTACAACAACAACAATTTTTGCTGTTACTCTGTATGGCGGGTACTGACCGGCCATTTCAAATTTAAACAGACGATCAGTTGCCGCCAAGTAGAAAACCGCCATGTAGAAAACTGCCATGTAGAAAACTGCCATATAGAAAACCGCCAAATTTGAATAAATACAATATCTTTATTTTTGTTATAAAATGGTTAAAAATCATTTCCGACCCTATAAACTATATATTTTCGTGATCAGCAAAAACAGCCGAATCGATCTATCCATGTCCAGCCAAAAAATAAAATTATTTTAGAAATTTCACAATTTTATAAGGGGTAACATCGTTCAAATGTTCAATAATTGACAAAAATTTAATTTTCTGTAAATTACACTTTTGCAGAGTGTAGAATTTTAAACGAATGTCATTTGTTGATTACACACTTTCAGGCTGCAACAAAATCCACGATCACTGGCTCCGCTGCTTTTTCCCCTTATTCACAAACACGAAAACCCACCCCTCTCGGATTATATTATAAAAAGGGGAAGAGTGTCGTGAGTGCGAGTGAAGGGACTCTTCCGATTGCTGGCCACTTAGGCGGCAAATGAATGCCTAAACCAATTTGTAGTTTCTGCTCCGTTGTTGTGGCCGCGGATTAAATGGCCATTATTGCTGCTCCTGCAGCCGGTGACACGCGACCTGGTAACGGGATACCTCAGCGACCACCAAAAATGATGTGTTATATATATATCATATATATTCTTGATCGGCATTAACAGGCTAATCTTTCTGACCATCTTAAGTTGCAAAACAGACATTTTAAATTTAAAAAAAAAAATTGTAAGGGGTTAAATCATTAAAATTGTAAAAATTTTAAAAATAATTGGATTTCTTAAAAAATTAAATTTAGTATGAAGATTTGTTAAGCGCCAAACAACTAACGCAGGAGCGGTTTCCGAATTGAAATTAATGCATTCTTGACAAAGTTATGCTGATCAAGAATATATATGATTTATAGGGTCGGAAATGGCTACTTCACAGTGTTTTAAGCTTCTGACTAAATTTATAATACTTTTTATGGGTATACAAAAACAGAGTTATTTCTGTTTTGTTTTCTTATCTATCGATCTCAAAGGATTGGCTTGGGAGCTTTGGTTAAAGTTTTTGACATTATAACAGATGTTTCGGTTTGGTTTCTAATACATTTTCATTTTTTACTACTATGCTTCTGGACTGAACAGTAAAATAGGCAAATACATTAGTTATTTCTAAAAAGTCTGGATTTAGTAGCTGTGTCGCCATGGTGTGTTTTGAAAGTATAAGTGACGGCAATGTTGCTGCTGCTGCTGCTGCTGTCGTTGCAGCTGCTGCTGCTGCTGCTGCTGTTGCTGCTGTTGCTGCTGCTGCTGTTGCTGCTGCTGCTGTTGCTGCTGTTGCTGCTGCTGCTGCTGGCGCTGATGCTGATGCTGATGCTGTTTACGATGCTGTGGGTTTTGTGCCGACTTCAGGTCGGATTCGTCGCGTCGCTGCTGCAGTGATAACGCAGCGCGGTTAACGGTATCACGGCGATAGCCAAGCAGCGGACTGCCTTTACCGCTGCAGTTGCTGCCGTTGCCGTTGCAGGAGTATTGCTGCTGCACGGCTTGCATCACAGCTGATTGCCGCATTGCTCGTCCTACTGCCCCATTCCTTTGGGGGTCTCCTCCATCTGGTTTAGTCCTTGTTTTAGTCCCCGCTGCTGCTTTTGTTGCAGTTGCAGCTCCTGACACTGCTCCCTTTCCGCTGGCTTTTGGTGTACGCGGTGTCTGTGACTTTTGCCTGGACGTTGGCTTTCCGCCTGCAGTCAAGGGCGCTGTTACAGGAGTTGCTGCAATGCCAAGCTGCATTAAGAGAAATTCTGATAGTAGAAGGAGCAACATACTTACCTGCTGCTTTTACTGGTGATCTTGGAGAGCCATTGGCTGCGTTTCTTGAAGCCATCCTTTTTATTTTTCCATCTGCAGTGGCCTTGAGAGCGGCACGAACCGAGGTTCGACTAACCGCTAGAGTAGGTCCCTGTCGGCCTTGCACCCTTGGTAGGTGAAAGGGTCTTAGGTCTGCAGCTGGAAGCTGCAGCGGTGTCACGTGCGGCCTCGTCTCCGAACTGCGGCTTGGGTTAAGCTTCAGGTTGGGCTTCTTCATAGACTGTGCCTGCTGGTGTAGGGCCTCCACCTTTAGCATTTGCTGATGGTTGCGATAGGCACGCTTGTAGGCCGACACCTAAGGATAGATCGGGGAAAAGTTACAGTATTGTTTTTTATTTTCTTTCTCTATAGATCGACATACCTGCGTGGCACTGGCAGCCAACAAATGATTGTTTCCTCTGAGCTGTAGGGCAGCCTTTACCGGCTGAGATGACGGAACAGGGATGGCTCTGGATCCTTGCACCCTCCTTTGCATATCCAGATTTGGCTCTCTCTGATCCGACTTCTCCGACTTCTTCTCCGACTTTTTGTCAGACTTCTCCGACTTTTTCTCAGACTCCTCCTGTTTCTGGTTGTGTTCACATTTATCGGTTGCATGTCCTGCCGACAGGTTCTCCTCTTGGGCTGCCTGGTAAAAGGAACGATGACTGGAGCGACTTAGCCGGTTGGCATTCCCAGCGCAAACTCGCTGCTTGGGTTTCTCTAGTGTTGCCTTCACTTTGTGCTTGGTCCTGGCCTGGGCCCTGCTGAGGCTATTCGAAAAGTCCTCGTCAGAAGGACTTTGTTGCAATTGCGCTCGTCGCACGGCAGTGCAAGTGATACGAGCTGGCTCATGGTGTGCAGGATACGGACGGGATTCTTCGACAAATATACCCGATGCGGCATCCGAAGGATCCACCGAAGATCCCTTGAATGACGCACCTACTAACAATCGCTGGGATTGTGCTTTGGTCGTCGAAGATCCACGCCAATCGATATCCCTTGGTGTTCCATTGCTTTCGTTATGTGCACTATAATTTGAATTCTGTTTTGGGGTAACAGTTGTTACCCTGTAATCTGGATTCATGGTCCGAGAATTGGTTACATAACTCCTTTCCAGTGGCCCTGCATCGGCAGAGTGACGACTCGATTGCCTAGACACTCTAGATTCTAAAGTGTCTGTTCTTAAGGACTTGCTTTTTGGATTTTCCTCTGTGTTATCTGCCCATTTGATTGACTTGACTCCTTCAGCATTGATTTGTCCATGGTTTGATGATGAGGATGCTGATGATGATGATGATGAGATAATATAATATATATGTGTGTATTCCTTACCTGAATTCTCTGCCGATGGGTGTTTCCTGGCTGATAAGCGTGAGCTTAAATCCACACTAGATCCCCGCGTACTCCTTAGGGTTTCCAAGTTACGATACACATCCTTAACTTCTGGCACTGGCGGTGGCTCTGGTGTCTCCAAACGATGACCACTGGATGTTGCCTCCAGGCTGCGGCTTCTTTGCATATGATTCGCATAGAGGACATTGCGACCGGTGAGTGTTCGCGATTGCTGTTGTGGCTGAACCTGCTGATAATCCTGTCTCCCGATTGTGTTGAGACTGGAACTAGAGCTGGTGCTGCTGCCTTTGTGCAATCTCCGTGGGTAACCACCAACCTGAGAACGGCGATTGAAGGCATAACTGCTCACCGGTCCATCGGCGAATTGAATGTACTCGAATTGCTTGGCACGATCACCTAGGAAGAGATAAATGGGATTCAATTAATGAAACGAAGCTTTATTATCTCAAAATCCCACCTAGAGTATGGAAACGGAAGCGCATCTTTGGAGGCTGACGGATCACATCGGGTATGTTACTTCCGGTGCGTAGGTTTCCGTTTCCCTTGGTGGTCAAATGGTGGCCCAACTCTGAATTAGTTTTATGCCCCTTGACGGAATCTACCACAGAAATCTTGCGCTTCAACGCCTCATCGACGGTCATCAGGGAGTCACCCTCTCCCATGGGTATCAATGGTGGCTTCGCCAGCGTGGTCTTCTCTATGGCATTCATGTGATGTTTGCGACATGGTGGCATCCGACCGGGCAGAGCGTTGCCCATTCCCAGGCCCGTGGGTGGTGGCACACTCAGGGATCGGGCACTGAACAACCTCATGTCCATGTCCAGCTGCTGTGTGTTGTTCTCCTCGGCATCCTTTTCTTCCTGTCGTGCCACCTTGCGTTCCCTTCGGGCCATTGCTCGGCTCTTCTGCAGGCAACGCGGATAGGAAGCCGTTCCGAGCATGTGATCCGAGGGTTGACTGTTGGTGCTGGAGACATTCGTAGAGCTGCAGTCCTCCTTTTCCGTCTTCCCAAGGATGGAGTAAGGACGCCCGCCACTGGCCATATCCTTGCCGCCCAGCGAGAAGGATATCGAACGCTGGCGGCTGCTGGTTTGAATCCTCTTGGGCAGTAGCTGGCCGGAGGCTATAATTTGCGCCTGCTTTGCCTGCATCTGGTGGCTACGAGGATATTCGTCAAGATAACTAGGCTTTGTCTCTGCCTTCTTTAGCTTCCTTATTGGGCCCGGATTCTCCTCCGTTTGATGGGGCAAGCGAGAGTGCCTTTTATCTGGAAGTGGGGGAGAGGAAGGATGTTACAAGTCAAGTCGATCTAGATGATCCCGATTTGGGATTATATGTTTAAACAAATAAATACCTATAAATATTTAGATATAAATGACTTAGACGATCTCCCTTTGTTTCAAACTAATCTCTCAGTTTTATGGCTATTCTTTCTTTTAGTTTTTATCATATAGCTTCTGATGTATTTAAGAGCTAATAGAAACCTGAACTTCTTCTCAAGCCTTATTTGGCTGAGCAAAACATTTAAGTCTTTTGTTTTTAGATAGAAAATTAAGGAGGAAGGTAAGGTATTATAGCTGTTTTTAAGAGCACTCCGATGGTCGTTTTCGATAGCATAAACTACAAGAAAATAGATAATAAGATGACTCTCTTGGACCTTAATAGGGATTGTGTCCTTGCGCTGTACATCGTAAATTAGCTGCTTAAGAGCACTTTATTGGTATTTTTAAACAGGATAAATAATAAAAAATAGATAATTAATAAGTTTTTTAAACAAATTTAACTAGAGCTGATGTTTATAGATCTGATAGCTATCTGAAACCTAAACAGAGAGTGAGTTCTTGCACTTTACATTACAAATTAGCTGCTTAAGAGCACTCTGCTGATGTTTTTAATAGAATAAATTACAGGAGAATAGATAATCGATTCTTTTTTAAAAACAAGTACAATTAGTGCTTCTGTTTATAGGTCTAATGACCATCTTTAACCTTAACATTAAGGGTAAAACCCATTTCTAAGGCTTTAAGATAGCAAAAATAACTTATAAACAAAATAACTTATAAATTGCAATTTAAAAAATTGTATAAATTGTTAAAATAAACATATCTCTTCTTTAATTCCAGTACTTACGTGTTGTGTGGCCTGAGGCTCCATGCTCGTAATATGATCTCACGGCACTCTCGTAGATCTCGCTGGTATTCCGGAGGAACCATGGTTGCACTCGACCATTGCCTCGGATTAGACGATTCAGCTGCTCCGGCTTCATCTTCAATCCGGAACAATCGGCGATTCCGCCGTAGGTGTCCTGACCCAAGGGTCTTCAGCAAATCGCTCTTACTCTCACCTGATATGCCTGCGGAGGGGATCACGCCACTGGAACTTGAATAATTTTGCTTTGGATATGTTCACCAAAAAAATGAATAAATAAATACGTATATGGAATTTTTAAGTGTTTGTCTCTGAGACCACTTTTAAACAGTTGGTGTAGAAAATGTACTGACTAGGGACTATACTAAAACATGCCGATTGCTTGAAAGCCTCAGCTTTAGTGTCGGTATGTATTAGGAAGTACAAAAGAAAAAAAAAAACTTAACTCAAAATATGCTACGTGTTTAAGCAAAAGTTAAAATAAATAAATCATTCCGAATGTTCACAATTTGGATATAAAGCCAAGGGCTTGCTATGGTTTAATAAAGTTCAGAATGATGTGATTTCGGAACTAAATTCAATGGAACTACATATCACATTTCTTTTGCTTACTGTTGAAAGCTAATAATTATCACTGAAACAAGCGTGAATGCTAATGAGCAGAGTTTGACTGTCCTGTGAATCCCTACGAATCCCTACAAATCCCACTTCATCCCACACCCAATCTGGCCCTCCCGGGAGTGGGCTTATGCACAGATCCTAATCCCCTGGACTCGTTTGGGACATGTTCCATCCGCTTCAACCGTAACTTAGTTGCATAATTATGTGTGTTTCAATCAAATTAGCCAACACACCGGGCATACGTAATGCACTCATGCCTATGTCCCTGTTCCCATCCCTAAAAACCCCACGCTGCAAACACCCATTTGACATTGATTTATCAGCGACTGTCAAAGTGGCTTCAATCTGCCCCTGGATTCCCCATGCCCCATGCCCCATGCCCCATGCCCCGTCCGCCCGCAGGTCCGTGGTCAAGGTAAAAAAGTAATAATTAGCCGCAGTGATGTGATGATGTTCGAGTGGAGTCCCAACCCTCCAGTATCTCTTTCCACCGCCGAATCGATTTTGAGCTTGGCCAGCATCAATTTGTCAAAGTTTGGCTTGAAAAATGAATGCTGGTTCTGCACTTTAAGAATTTATAGAGTACTTTCTTTGTGGAAAGATCTGAAAAAGAGAAGAAAGCAAACAGGAACACATAAGAAGATGCTTAAGGGATTCATTGTTAACTGTTAGCATGAAATGCAAGGTTTATCTTAATATTTATAAGAATACAGCAGACTTTCCAGACTTTATATTTGTATAAAAACCATTTCCTATATCTAATTTCTTGCAGTGTATGCCTCATTGGTCAGGTGACGGTATGGTGTGCGTAGGGAACTAGGGGAGTCTGTGCGTTGACCAGTCCATTGATTATGTTGTTTGCTTGTTGTTACCGCTGACCCCAGCGTGCCCCCCACTAACAACCCGCTGGCAAAAAGTGCGCAAAATGGAAATGGATGGAGAGCAGACTGGGAGAGAGAGTGAGAGCGAGAGTATACGGATGTAGGAAGCCAAACCCGGACCCAGAGCCGGACCCGGATCCCCAATCCGAATCCGAATCCGAGTCCGGAGCAGCTGCATCTGATCCCTGGCTAAATGCATTCTGTGCGCACGAATGCAAAAATTGATTTTAATTCAATTACAGTGGATAATTTATGCGTTGCTAAATCTAACCACTAACCCGGGGTCTGTTACTCTCTGGTGTTTTCCATTTTCCCTACACACACACACACGAACACGCCTCGCCTCCATTTTCCAGCTGCCATGTTGATTTCCGGTGGAGGGAATTTTGTTGCCTACTTTTGAGGGCTTTGGTTTTGCTTTCGAAAGAAGGATATTATGGCAAAGGTGTTTTTGATGAATTAAGCTGGGAAAACTGAATTGCTTTGAGCTGGCGAAATAGTTGTTAAATTATTAACTTAAATTTAATTATTTAAAATTAAGAAATAAAAGAATAAGCTCTTGAAATGTAGTTAAATTTGTGCTGTTTTCCACCTTGAACTTTTTCTCTTATAATTTCTGGTATTTATAAATTTTTCAACTGAATTTGCTTTAATTAATTGACAAATTAGTAGCCAAGTACAACTCCCTTTCTTTTGTATTCTTTAACCACCTTTGACCTTTCTAATTATGGCTTAGGGGCTTGTACAGGCAAAAGGAGGCTATCAGTGTAAAAAAAATGTGAGTACAAAACTTTGACACTTGCCCGTCTTTTCGCATTTGCCGAGTGTTCCACAAAATATGTTGAAAGCATCTTTCGCTTTTATTTTGTTGTTTTTTTGTTGTTGTTGTCCTGCCTCTAAGCTGCCACATTAGCAAGTGAGGTGCAAAGTTTACGAGTGTCCTTTTTCACTTCTCCGCTTGTGCTCGTTCTTATTCTACTCTCCTTCTTCCCTTTTCCTGCCTGTGTCTGTTTTGTCCTTTTTGGCTGAACACGTGCTGTACCCCCGGAAATGTTCACTTGGAGCACTTCCGTTGGGTTCTTAGAAGGAAGGGAACTCTACGTTTAGGTTTATTTAGATATTACAAGATTTAGTTAGATTTATATATTAAAAGATTTATTAAATTTTATATATTAAAAAAAATGTAGACTTTAGTTTTGTAGTATAAAATTAATAATTATTTCCAAAGAGAATAAAAAGTGAAAGTAAGTTTTGACAGGGAGTCCTTAAAGTTTTCTTAGCAGGAACTTTAACAGTAAGGCAAGAAACTCCTAGTCCTACTAGTAATATTGTTTTAGAATTTACATGCAGATCTTTATTAATACAAAAATATATCTCTATTAATGTGTTTATTTAATGTTGCAATAGAGAATATAGTAAATAGCAAAGGCAAGACTTCACAGGTAATCCTGGAGCCTTCGCTAATAAGAACCTTGAAGTTGGTTTAGCAGAAACAAAAAATCTCCTAGAAAATGTTAAACCTGAAAGTGGTTCCTATAAATTTTATAAATTTCCCTAAATTAACTAACAGATTAAATAGAGAACTTTCTCTAACTATATATATATTTTAGATAGAGTATAAATATCACTCTCCTGATCTTCCAGGGTATTTTCTAACCCCGAGTCCTTTGCACATTTCTCAACCTTCTTTCACTTGAGTTTGCTTTTCTGTCTGTTGGCTGCCTTGTTGTTCACTGGGCTTTCATTTTTATGTTTATTGCTGTTTGTTTTGATTTTGAGTGGAAATTATGAGGAACCCTGTGCTTCCTTTGACAGGTGAGAGATAGTTAAGAGCTGACAAAAAAAACAAAAAAGGAAAAAGAAGGGAAACCGGAACGACCCTTTGTCCACTTGGTCCGCCTTCGCGGTTGTCGCTGCGCAGTGGCCTCATTAAAATTGACATTCATTGCATTTGGGCAATTAGACTAATTGACTTTTAACCAGTTTCGGTGGCACATGTGACCCACTCACTCACCTTTCCCGGCTGCCGTTGAATGGGACTCGTGAATTTTGCATGGCTTGGTCCTCGTTATAGCGCCATTGTGAAAGCGTGTTCGTTCATCGGGTAATTAGGTTTTTCTGCAAATGCACGAATAATCCTTAAAATATATATAATCAATGGGAAATGTTATAGTTAAGCTGGCAAAGATACTAACCCTCGATTATTATTACTTATGAATTTTTTGACAATTTTAAAAGTATTAACTTAAGTAATTCAGTCTTGAATAAAAAGAAGAAGCGATGGCAAAGATATTAACCCTTCGATTATTATTACTTATGAATATATGGAGAGTATTTTACCATTATTGCTTTTTGCAAATTTTTCAAGTATTAATTTAATTAATTCAGTCCTGAATAAAAGAACAATCGATGGCAAAGATACTAACCCTTCGATTATTATTACTTATGAATATATAAAGAATATTTTACTATTATTGCTTTTTGCAAATTTTTCAAGTATTAATTTAAGTTATTCTGTCCTGAATTAAAAGAAGAATCGATGGCAAAGATACTAACCTTTCGATTATTATTACTTATGAATATATGGAGAGTATTTTACCATTATTGCTTTTTGCAAATTTTTCAAGTATTAATTTAAGTAATTCAGTCTTGAATAAAAAGAAGAATCGATGGCAAAGATACTAACCCTTCGATTATTATTACTTATGAATATATGGAGAATATTTTCTTGTTACCATTATCGCTTTTTCCCAATTTTCACAGTATTAATTTAAGTAATTCTGTCCTGAATAAAAAGAAGAATTAATGTCAAAGATACTAACCCTTTGATTATTATTACTTCTGAATATATGGAGAATATTTTACCATTATTGCTTTTTGCAAATTTTTCAAGTATTAATTTAAGTTATTCTGTCCTGAATAAAAAGAAGAATCGATGGCAAAGATACTAACCCTCGATTGTTACTCATGAATATATCGACCATTATTGCTTTTTCCCAATTTTCACAGTATTAATTTAAGTAATTCTGTCCTAAATAAAAAGAGAAATCGATGGGATTATTACCAGAGTGAAGGCTGTGATAAGGATCAATCAAAGACCAGTATCTCGTGCTTCTGGCACTTGCCACATTCCGGCGCCTTAAGTTGAACGAGATACTGGCGCAGACCTTGTCAGGACCAAGGACGAAAAACCGCACAGGAATGTGGCAAAAAGAAAAAAAAACACTGTTTGGGGGAGGGGAAAATGTGCGGGAAAAAGCTCCGCTCCGGTTGCTCCGGGAAAACTGCGAAGCTGCAAAATGGAGATGAATGATGTGCGGGGGATTTAGAAACAGTTGCCACATGGCGTTAGTCAAGCTTAGGGATGCAAGTCAACTGCGCTTAGCGGTGCACTCACTTTTTGGTACATACACATATAGAGAGAGGGAAAAGGAGCAGGGAAAATTCAGCAGGAAAAGCGCAGGGAAAGCCACCCAACCAAGCCAAACACTCACTCACTCACTCACTCACTCGGGCTGCACTCGCAACTCTCTCATTCATTCATTTGCTCAGTCTGGCATTCATTCATTTCCTTGATTATGTTTCTTATCAATGATAAATGAATATGAACGTACCGTGCCGAGCACTCAAAACTGCTACCAAAACTGGCTATCAAAGTGAAAGTACGACCAGCGCACTGGGGACGCCTTGGTTTTTGCACAAAAACTTGTATGCCAGATTTTGTAAGGATGAAAACGAATTTTTAAATGTCCTAAAACAAAATCTTCAAAATATATATTTTAATTAAAGCGAAAATGTTGAGAAAATGTCACAGAAATGTATATTTTAAAATTCAATTCAAACTCATATCCAGCTTTTCTGTTTCCTTGCTGTCTCCCCTTGAATGGTTTTAGTTCACATTCAAGGCTTATATCCTTTCGATCGCTGTGCTTCTTTATGAAAAAGTAATATGCCACACACAACCTAGCAAATATTACACACTCGCACACACACACAGCACACACACCCCTGTATATATTAGAAATCCAAGAGTTTGGTGAAGCGAGAGCCAAAAGGGAAAACGGAAAGTCAAGCACAGGATGAAACAGAACCAAACTGCTTCTGATGCTGCGGCTGCATCCAAAACCTGCCACATTGCCGAACCCTTTTCCGGATCCTTCAACCAGAGCAACCAGCTGCAGTCCACATCCCGAGGTAGACCAGGCCCAAACAGTGGGTTTATTTGGGTTATTTCAGTGCCAAAATTACTAAATTCTGAGACAAGAAAGGCTCAAAGAAAGCAAATGTTTTTCTAAAGATACAAAAATCTTTAACAAAATTAAAGTATTATAAGGTTTTAATAAAATAATAATAAAATTCTGGTAATTATACCAATTAAGTTGCCTTTATTCACTCGAGAAAATTATGAAAATTACCATAAAAAGTTTGATAACATTAAGACATTATATGGATCTATAAAACATAATATGTGAAGGCATATTATAACTTGAAACTCTTTCATTTTTTTATTGATTTTTTTTTTGCTTTGCAGAAGAAATTTTTAAGTGCTTTCCTTTGCACCTCAATTTGCGGTAGTTGATTTACCATTTCCGGTATCCGAACTGCCATTTCCGGTAGCATTCGTTGCATTTCCTCCCGCTGCGATCAGATCTTTCCCAGACGATGGAATTTCAGGGCAAGCCTTGCAATATCTCTTGAGACGAGGTAACTTACAAAAGAAATCCGCTTTGGTCAAGAAGGATTGCAGGAAAGTGGTTATGTTCTGCAAGGATTCTCTCCTTAAGTTAGAATAAAATCCTTAAGTAATGATTTCTTAATGATTTCTGCTTACGGTTAACTCGCTGTTGCAATTGGCAGAGTCAGATCCTTTGCAGAATCGTAAGACCTCAGTATAAATCTTATCATAGCGGCATTTTTCCTCAGAAAGGCTGCTAGAAAAACTTCCGAAAAGGATAAGTAACACAAAGAGAATGCACATTTTGAAGACTGATTTTGGGATAGAAAAGGTAACAATATTTATAGGAAAAAATTGTATAATTTTTAGTTTGAATAGATAAGAGCAAAGGTTGTGTAGTCGTGACTCATTAAAGGTTAAATTACATTTTGTAAATTGGTTTTGAAAGTGATACAAAAAAACCTATTTGAGAACGTCACGTTTTCTGGAGAAAGATAACTCACCATCGTCATGGGGAATAATTAATAAATAAATAAGTTTATTTATTACCATTTTGGTTAGTTAATTACTTATTTTTTTTTACTTTCTAATTATTTTTATGTGTTGTATATAGCTATTAATTGTTATTTATTTGTATATATATTTTTTTATATTTTTTCCTATATAAATATTTATTCAACAGATTGCTAACCTTACTATAAATTAATAAAATAATATGAAGAATAGAAAATAGTGCATTAAATTTCCATAAAATGTACACATGTTTATATATTTTATATAAATTTAACACTTTATTTTCCTACCCAGGGATATATATAGTTTTGTATTATATATAAATATCCTGTTTTTTTTTTTTTTTTGCCAACGTCAAACAAAATTTACCCGGCCATCACTTGATTGCCACAGCGACTTTGGAGCAAAACGTTCTTTGTGGCTAGGCTTGCACCGCGGGGGGTTAAGGGGGTTAAGAAGGGGGCCTTTGGGGGGTTAAGAGGGGAACCCCCGTCATGGCCAAAAATTCCTTGCTGCGAGAGAGCTTCGACGATTCAAACTGGCGCTCGGCCATTTTCCAGCACTTTAGAAATAAAATTTTTAACAACTCGTCGGGGCGGCCGCTAAGTGCGTGGACGCTTAAGCTCTCCAGGGGCGCTGGCAAGGGGGGGAGTATAAAAGGGGGGCTAACACGGGGTTAAACGAGAGCTTCTGGGAATAGCAAAAATTGTGCATTTGCGGTGGCATAGAATGAAAAATGTTTATGCTACTTTGTAATCCCCAAATAAAACTCAATTCAATTATCAACAAGTGAAGCGAGGTATTTTTTTTTATATTTTATAAAAAAGTTTTAAGAATATACTAAAGATTTTTAAGGTTTGAAAAATTACAGAAGCAATCTCCAAATAAAACTCAATTCAATTATTAACAAGTGAAGCAAGGTATTTTTTTTATATTTTATATAAAGTTTCAAGAAAATAATAAACATTTTTAAGGTTTGAAAAATTACAGAAGCAATTCCCAAATAAAACTAAATTCAATTATTAACAAGTGGAGCAAGGTATTTTTTTATATTTTATAAAAAGTTTCAAGAATATAATAAGGATTTCTAAGGTTTGAAAAATTACAGAAGCAATCCCCAAATAAAACTCAATTCAATTATTAACAAGTGAAGCAAGGTATTTTTTTTTATATTTTTTAAAAAAGTTTTAAGAATATAATAAACATTTTTAAGGTTTGAAAAATTACAGAAGCAATTCCCAAATAAAACTAAATTCAATTATTAACAAGTGAAGCAAGGTATTTTTTTTTATATTTTATATAAAGTTTCAAGCAAATAATAAACATTTTTAAGGTTTGAAAAATTACAGAAGCAATCCCCAAATAAAACTCAATTCAATTATTAACAAGTGAAGCGTGGTATTTTTTTTATATTTTATATAAAGTTTTAAGAATATACTAAAGATTTTTAAGGTTTGAAAAATTACAGAAGCAATCTCCAAATAAAACTCAATTCAATTATTAATAAGTGAAGCGAGGTATTTTTTTTATATTTATATAAAGTTTCAAGAAAATAATAAATAAATAATAAATAATAAATTTTTAAGGTGGCAAAAGGCTGGAAACACTTTTTTGTTTGAAAAAATTACAGAAGCATTTAAAATTAATTTGATTTTACTTTTATTAAAGCAAGTATTTAACATTATTAGTCAGAGATTGAACGCTGTAAGATTTTCCTTTACTTTTACAATAAGTTTAACTGAGTATACAACCTTTTCGATGAGATATTTCCTTAACTTTCCAGTCCAAGTTAATTCTAGTTGCATTAAAACTGACCTCAGTTGACTTCCTTGACCTTTCCTTTTCGCGAAAACTTTTTGCCACTCGGCTTAAATATGCAGAATGGAGCTGCAAGCACCACTATCATCATCATCATCATCATCATCATCATCATCATCATCAGTTCAGCTCTTACATCAATTACGCACACATTGCAACATGTGCCACGCCCACTTGGAACCTAGAAACCTAGCCTCCCCTTGTTCATCCCATTTGATGATGGATTTTCTGATGAATTAATAATGCTGCCTCTAGTGGGCGAGAGTTGCATATTCTTGCACTACTACCAATCCCCCGCCCATCTGCAATTATGTGGGGCCAGGCAAGGGGTTAATTGAAGGTAAGGGTAGCCAAGGGGTTAAGTTCTCTGTCCGGCCTTATAAGGCAAAAGGCGTCGATTGTCCTTGTGATCCTGTCGCTCTATGCTCCATGTTCCAAGTTCCTAGTTACCAGCAGTAGCATTATTTATGCCAATTGACGTTGAATAATTAGCCTTCCGTTTTTGCCGGGGCTTAAAATTGTCAGCCATCGGGCTGCGCCATTAACCCCCTGGTGCTTCCATTGCCTCGGTAATTTGTGATATATGACTAGTCGATGGCGGCCATCAATATTTCCCGGGCTAATGACTCCTCCTCCTCCGCCAACTTGCAGCGTCATCGCTTCAAGAGAGAGAGAGCAGGGGGGAAAAGGCGGAAATGAGTGCGGAAAAGTGCGGAAAAATGCACTCGGGGAGAGAGGCATGCATACATACAAAAATATATAGTGCCAAAAGGGTGCAAGGATAATGACCGTTATGATGATGCCCCAAATGACTAGCAGGAAAGCGGAAGTTGTGGCTATTAAAATTCCAACCAACCCTAATCGATTTTCTTAATACATGTACAAGTATTTAGAATCAGGAATATATATGTTATGTATACCCAAAACTCGTGACTAAATTAGTAGCAAGTATAATTTACATTTTTCCACGAGTTTTCTGGTCGCAACTTTTCAGCCACTTTCCTGGGGGACAATCAAACGGAATGCGAAAAGTCTGCAACCGCCAAGGAAATAGAGCCGGAAAAATCCAAAACAACAAAAAAATACAACAATAAAATAAGAAAAAAACGAAAAAAGAACACGAAAATTTGTGAAAGAAGCAGAATCAGAATCAGGAAAGTAGGAAAAAAGCAACTCGAATGAATGGCAGGAACTTAGAGGGCACAATATGTGAGAAACTCTTAGGGTTCATGTCCTTTGATACCCTTAAAAGGGGTTATATGTCATTTTTTGGGAGATTATATATAATATAAGTATAAAAATTATAAAATCTGAAGGATTTATATTCCTTAGGAGCTGTAAAAAGGTGTAGAAAGTATAGAAGCTATAGAAGCTATAGAAGCTATAGAAGCTATAGAAGATATAGAAGCTAAAGGATATATAGAAGCTATAGAAGTTATAGAAGCTATAGAAGATATAGAAGCTAAAGGATATATAGAAGCTATAGAAGCTATAGAAGCTATAGAAGCTATAGAAGCTATAGAAGCTATAGAAGCTATAGAAGCTATAGAAGCTATAGAAGCTATAGAAGCTATAGAAGCTATAGAAGCTATAGAAGCTATAGAAGCTATAGAAGCTATAGAAGCTATAGAAGCTATAGAAGCTATAGAAGCTATAGAAGCTATAGAAGCTATAGAAGCTATAGAAGCTATAGAAGCTATAGAAGCTATAGAAGCTATAGAAGCTATAGAAGCTATAGAAGCTATAGAAGCTATAGAAGCTATAGAAGCTATAGAAGCTATAGAAGCTATAGAAGCTATAGAAGCTATAAAAGCTATAGAAGCTATAGGAGCTATAGAAACTACAGAAGCTATAGAAGCTACAGAATCTAAAGAAGTTAGTTATTTTTCTAATCAAAACTTTAAACTTTAAATTCTTCAAAATAATATCAAATCATAACTTAGATAATTCCTAACTACTCATATTAAAATAAGCTTCTTGAGCAAATGACCCATTAATTTATATTTAAAATTAAAGCTCAGCACTACTAATTAAATTTATAAATTAAATTTCACAATAAATACACTTTAAAGATGTACCTTTATCTGCTTTGAAGCGTAATTCTGCTGGTAAGGGTATTCAAAGTTCTCTACTATTCACCTTCTTGGGGGACATTTACCCCATTTTCGTTTCATTTCCCGTCTTGGACGAGTTTTCTTCATTTCGGGTGTGTATGTTGTGTGTATATTGTGTGTGTGTGTGTTATGCCAGGGGAATTGGCTTTTGGGCTTTTGGGTCCTGACAAGTGTGCCGAAATGTCCCAGACATTTGTCATGCCTCCACAAGGAGGGGCCAAGCTGTCAGGCGGGTGTATAAGAGAGTGTGTGTGTGTGTGTCTATATGGTGGAGCAAAAGTCACACACAAACACACACAGGGACACATTGAATGAGTGGGGCATGCCCCATACCTCTTGTGCCACCTCATCTCACTCAATCAAATAGGCAGATAGCCAAATGTACCAGCTAACAGAGCTGGTTCGCACTTAAAAAATTGGGTTGTGTTACGGTCAGTAGTTAAACCAACAGGTTTAGAGAGGAGTGTAAAAAAGTAAAGAATCGAAATAAATCAATTTCAAATATTGAGGCAACAAACAAGGCAAAAATATGTGACAAATGGGTGATAAACTTGTCCTTTTGCATTTGGTATTTTACTCATAAAGTAAACCTTTATATTGACTTTACTTTATGTATAAAATAAACCCCAATGCAATTTAAAACTAAGTCTTAATGTATTCATTAGCTAATTAAGCAACTCTCTCTTAAAAATAAAATCCCCTTTACAAACCTTTCTCTGTCCTCGGGTCCACTTTCATTTCAAGTAATCGATCTATTAACTTTGCCAGCTCAGGCGAAAGATAATCCCTTGAAGCTGTATTAAAAGCTGAGCTCGAGGACCCTGCAAAAGTTGATGAAAAAAGTAAATAGATCCATTAACCTGTTAATGTGAATTACCTGCCACTTTCATTTCCACACTTTTTCCTTCACAAGCTGTCGCACTTTCCCTTGACTTCCGTGGGATCTTGATTAAAAATTAAATAGAAAGAAATGAGGAAATGTAAGGATACCCAGCAAGTTGGATTGACATTATAAAGTAATGGTAGAATAGGAAATATATATTATATACTCGCCTTTATGCATTTTACTAGTAATAAAACAAATGATTTTTTTATTTCCTTTAAATTTGAAACTCTTAATTTTAACCTTTTCAACTTACAAATTCAATTTAAGTGGCCGGTGAAAAATAATTCGAATTTGGGTATAAATAATTACCAAATTTGTCGAAAATGAAATTTTTAATTGCGTTTCAGCCTGTTGTTGGTCTGCTGCAATCGCTTGGAAAGAATGATGCCGGGTAACTTTGAGGGAACATTATCAGTCGGTGTGTTATCGGTACGCAATACGGCGGCATAGGATATTTCCGATTTCTTTTGCCCACCGGAAGTTGAAGGAGGATTCTTGATCAGATTGGTGAGCATCGGTGCCGGCGGTGGTGACAATGGGGTAGGATTTCCTCGGCGCCTGGTGTCCCATCCAAAGTTTCTAATCACTGGCCCCGAAACACTGCTCTGTCCCATCTGGAGTTGTGGCAACTGAGGAATATTTCCGGTTCCACTATCAGAACTCTGGTGGTGATGATGCTTGCGACGATTCTTTTTCTTCATACCCATTGGTATGGGATTGTTTTCGGGGATTTCCCGCTTAAGGGGCCTCATCACAAGTGCACTCTTCTCCAACAGCTTCGGTGTGGTGTTGAAAAAGCTGGAATGGGATTTGGCAGATTTGCATTCCAGCTGCGGCACACGTTCGGTTATGGCTAAAGACTGGCAAGACATGATCTGGGAGACCTCCCTGGAAGATTCCATCAATACCGGAGGCACTGAGATATTTCCAGAACTGGAAGATGTGTAAAATATATCAGTTTGGCTGAATTTGTTGTCCGCTTCCGATGAGGAGGTCTCCACCTCCCTGAGTGCAAAGGGCGCCATGTCTAGCAGAGCCATAGTATCCTTTGTATCCTTCTCTATTCGCTGTTCGATGGGAGAAGGATTCAAGTCAATTGTCTCGTTGATATCTTCTAGAATCCTTGAGGCACTGGAAGTCTGCTGCACCACCAATAGAGTCTCATATTCCTCTACAACATCAGCATCCGAGATAGAGTTTTCCAAGTTATTCATGGGGAGATTGTCCTTGGTCTTCAGGGAATCATCTTCAATGATTTCGCTGATCAGGATCCCTTCCTCTTGCTCCTCTTTGGTAGGAATGGAAACCACCTCATCGAGATTAGGTTTGCATTCCTCGAGTATTCCCAAGCAGCGACTGCACATCTGACCCTGACGCACTTCATCCAAAAGGGAGAACTCTTCCTGGATGGACATCATTGCCGGCTTCGAAGTGGTTTCAGCCAGGCGACCCTGCAGGCTCCTGTTCTCCTGTATGACGGCCCTCAGGTGATCCTCCAATTCAGAGCGACGTCGACGTTCGATGAGATAATCCCGCATTATGATCTCCATTTCACCCAGCAACTTGATCAGATCATCGCTGTCCTCACTCTTCAGGAAATTCTCTTCGGCCAGACTCAGGGCCAGGTTGTTGTGGCAAAGGACAACGTTCTCGTGCCTGGCAAGGACTACGGATTGAATTTCTGGAAAATCTAGGTTCTGATCTAGCGGTACAGGAGTATTGGTATGCTGTTCCTGTCTATAGCGATCGATCTTATTGAGGGACTGTCGGGCAAGGCTCAGCTTTTGTGTCAGTTCCATGCAGCGTGCCTCCAAACTCTCCACATTTGTGTTCAACATCTTAATCCGGTCTTTGGCTTGGCATTTTTCCGCATGCAACCTGTTGTTTGCATGCTCTAGCTCCTGAAACATTATGTCCATTTTCTCGTAGACCTTTAGCCGTGCGTCATTCTCATCAATCACGGAACTCAATAACTTTCTCAGGTGCAGCAATTCCTGCTCCTGATCATCTGCCTTCGATTTGTATACCTTCAATTGTGTGTTCAACCCCTCGTTACGTTCCATCAAGGTTATCCCGTCCTCCGCAGTTCGCTGCAGTTCTTCCTCTCTGCGATTTTCCATTTGTGGGCTTTCTTTTCGGCCTTTTTTTTTGCAGTCCTACAATTTTTCCAAAATTTTACGGAGTCAACTGGATTTTATGTATGGCCTTGTGGGAATATTTGTCCGGAATGAATTTTGTATAAAGTGAAATTCAGAGCTTACTTTGATCTAAACTTTGTTCGAAATTTTGTAAAAATGTAAAATGAAATGCGCTTACTTGTTTTTTAACTTTATCAAGTCATCAAGTTGAAAATTAAATGGTTTAGAGACTCTGAAAAATGTAGAATAACAAAATTTTAAATTAAATGTAAATTTAAGTTTAGATAAATAAAGTGAGTATGGTAAAATCTTTACTTCTCCAAAAGTATATTAATATACATAGAACTTCCTTTATTATATACTTTCTATTTACTTGCATATTTGTAGATCAAACTTTGTTTTTCTTGAGACTTTTCAGGTATCATATTAATAATATAATTTATTTTTAAAGCCTTGTAAAGCATTATAATTTAATTTAACACTAGTAATCAAGTTTTTAATTAATGGATCCAACTTAATTAAAACATGAACGTCTTACAAGCTTCCTATATTATTTATTTATTTATTGTACATATGTTATCCAACACTTTTGTTTAAGTTGCTACACTATTATATTCAGAATTTATTCGTAAACCTAAAAATTTGAATTCTTTAAATCAAGTAGGCCTTGGACACCTTTAGTCAAGCCAAAAAAATTACCTCTGTAACACAATTCCCAAGTATACTCAGTATAATTCCACTCGTCGAAGCAGCAAGACCTTTAGAACTACTTTCAAAATTATTTTTTCAAGCCTTTTTATATTTTCTAAATTTTGTATACAAGTTTTCTGGTGTGTTTTTACCTATTTTATTATCATAACTTTTGAAAACTAATTAAAATAATATTCAAAATTATTCCAGATTCAATGTCGAAGGAGAAGATCTACGTTTTTGCTTGGAAGTGGCTGTCCTCGCCAACTTTCAGCTGCATTTCATTGATTCCGGCCAGTCCAGCTTCTCGCTGGTTTTTCAGGTTGTCGATATTTTCTGAACTTGTTGAAGGTCTTTCTGCCACAAAGAAAGTCCGTCAAGTGCGGCTAACTATCGACAGCCTGAGAAATCAGATAGAAGCTCTACTGGCCGAAATCAATGGATTTCAGCTGAAGTCGCCGGGATAGCCGCCCGCAAATGAAACCCACCATGAAGCATAATATGTCCTGGAACATCTGACACTGAAAGCGAATCCCTACGATGTGGTCCTTGCAGCAGTCCTTGGAACAGGGATCCGTGTCTTTGATGGCACTTCAAACTCCTGATCAACGACAGCAACTAGCTAGAGATGAGGAAGCCTTTCTGAAGAACCAAGAAGACCGGGAAGAATCTACTGGAAACCCTTTCAGGACAATCAATTATATATATAAAGATCTACCGAAATACAAGTTCAAAGATTTCATATTCATAGGAATCGGTTAAGGAAGCTAGTCTGTTTCCCTTCTTCTTTTATTCTTTTAATACTCTTGCAAGGGTATTATAATGTTATTCAAAAGCTTGAAACTCTCAAGAAATCATTTCTAACCCTTAAAATCATATATATTTGACATTCTTACCAAAGTTAACTTAATTTCTTGTTTACAAGTAAGATTTACTTAATACTAAAGTCTTCTTATATTCAATGTTAATCTTCCAAAGATAATGTTTTAATAAAGTTACATTTAATTACACTATTACCTATTTACCTCTGCATTGCTAACTTTAAACAATTAAATTAAATATTAATTAAATACACACAGCTTCAAAGCATAGAAACAAAATTCAAATACATTAAAATAAATTGGCAAATGATAGAAAAGTCAACAGGGACGGTCGGCCTCTGTTGTTAGTTCAGCGGAAAAAGGAAAAATCAGTGGGGGGAAAACCAGAAGGGGAAACCAGGAGCCACAAGGGCGTGGCACTACAAAACTCCTCCTTCCTTCCGAAATCTGTCCCAATCTCTGCTATTTTCCTACCTTCAACTTTCAGGATTCGCCCTTCAATTGCCGACTGAAGGTGAACAAATTGACAAAGGCGTCAAAGTGAAGTTGCTCATCAGGACTTTCGTCCTTAGCCTCCTGCTCGTCGAACCCTATACTCCTTTTGTGCACTCTGCCACAGGACTGGCCTACCTTTGGGCTTAGTTTTTGTTGCTGATTTCCTCTTTTTCACATCAACACGGAGAGAAATATAGAGAGAGTACCAATCTTAATCTATATTTTAAGTAAACTAAAATAACTTTAAAATTATGTTTCTGGTTCTTCCCTACCTAATTCAAATTAAATTATTTTAATATCTATCCAAATAGTATTTATCTTTTATTATTAAATATATTTGTATTTATTTTCTTTTACTTTACCCCTTGTTTCTTTTAATGTATTATCTTAGCTTAGACCAGATTACGCATACGCCACGTGTGACGCATTTTTTAACGGTGGCTGGAAAATAAAAAAAGGGGAGAAAGCCGGTTTGGGAGACGAGGTCAAAGTTCAGCTGCGTGTGGTTCGCCTCTGTTGCCTTCAAAAATGAAATTAAATGCCTTTGATTTATTTATTTATCGTTTCACATTCACGAAAGGAGTCCCACTGGTTTTTCTTCCTTTCATCATGGAAGCAAAGGAAAGGTCGCTGAAAAGGGGAATTGGTTAATAGAGGGAATTTAAAGGAGGCTCTGGGCAGTACAATTTGTTGGCCTTTTTTATATATAATATTCACATAAATTATGCAATTCTGGTCAAAGAGAAGTTAGCAGCGGTCAGTTGAGAGAAGGAGAAAAAATGCTGTAAATCAAATGGAAAAGAGCACAAAACTAAAAAGAGTCGAAAGGGGGGAAATATTATATTTGCAGATGTAAAGAGTTGTTGTAAATATATATATATATATTTATATACTTTTAAAACCTTCAAGAGTAAGAAATTCTATCTAGTTATTAGCTCTCTTTTCACATATTTCATTTGTTTGGACTCCTTTAAATACCAGAACCGATCGAAAAAGGATCAATTGCAGGCCAAGTGGTAAGGTAAAAAGTCCTTCAACCACTTTTCCCATTTCCCCAATTCCCGAATTCAGAGCCACTGTCATCGTCGTCGTTGCCATCATCAGCATTTCGTGGCATTTTTGCTAACATTTTGGCTGCACCTGCGGCTGTGCCATAACTTTGTCAAGTGCCACTCAACACACACACAGATCCAAGGGAAAACCCAGCGAAAAACTGCAATCAAAGAAACCAACATGGAAAAAACCCCTTGAAAGTATGAAAACAGAGGCTGTTTCTTTGGGGAACGAATCTGGGAATACCCTTACAGAGTATTTAGTAATAAATACTAGCTTAGTAACATCTTCTTTTGGATTGAGAATGATTTTAAAAGGATATTGGGAAGGATTTCTTAAAGAATATTGTACTAAATACCCTTACATAGTACTTAGTAATAAATACTAGCTTAGTAACATCTTCTTTTGGATTGAGAATGATTTTAAAAGGATATTGGGAAGGATTTGTTAAAGGATTTTTTACTACGTAACATCGGAAAAATTAAATTGATCTGTTTGAAATAGAAAGTAGGAATGTATATTAATAGGACAATTCTGATATAAGACATCCTACATAATATAGTGCTAATATAATATAATATATAATATAATATATAATATAATATAATATAATATAATATAATAATATCAAAATAATGTAAAATATTGTATATTATATATATAGTTGAAAAATATCACACTATTTGATCAAATTTGTATACTATCTAAAAAAGCGAGTACGTATCTTATATATAATTATATTATTCGGTTACATCAAACTGAATATCTATTTATCACAGAAATAATTATTGCACCATTAATATATTGATTTTTATTTTAATTTTCTTGTCAAAAATAAATCAAAACTATTATTTAAATATCTTTAAGCATCCCTAATCATTACTAATAATCCCCTTAAGACATATCTGCAAACATCCAGGTTTTTCTGAGTTTATTCCAAATACATTTTAATGCCTTCAAAATGTATACAAAATCGAGTCAAACGAATTCACACCCAGTTCAAAAATCAGCAAAAAAAAAAAGAAAAAGAGGGAAATGGAAGTGAAAAGCGTAGGTGGAAATGGTGGGGCAAAAGGTGGGTTAACAACAAGCTAACTGAGCAATGTCATGTGGAGCAGCTACAACAATGTGGAAAACAGCAAATACAACAAGAGCTTTTCACAAAAGGCAGCTGGCAAATCCGTGGAAAACATTGTGGAAAATGGCAAGAGTCAAGAGAAAAGAAATCAAGCAAAAAAAGGAGAGCAACTTCCGTCTGTTAAAGGAGGTAACCCTTATTAATTCATGTTTGATTTTAAAATGAATGAATGCTAGGTATATTCAGGTGATTGAATTGCTTTACTCTCTAATTTGTATTTATTTTATAGTTTATTTAAAATTTATTATATTTTCTTTTAGCAGGTAACTTAGAAACAAAGGTAAAAGGTACACAACTGTCTCATCGATGTCCTCTTTTTATTTTTCAAGTTGTTTTTCGAACTTTTCGACATCTTTTTCAACCCAATGCAATTTCCTTTATCTCCGTTGGGGCTTTTACACCCTGGCACAATGGGTCTCACTGAACTCTCTCAACTTTGCTATTAATTTTCTAGCTAAATAACTCAATACGTTCCACTGTACGCCTTTCAATTGCATTGTATATATATGTCAAACCTTTTGCGTTAACTTCATGTTCAGATCGTAAAAAAAATCTGTCTCGACAAGGAAAAAGTTGACTGCCGGTCTTCAGTTTCCTTTCGCAATTTCCTGTCGTGCGTTGGGCGCCAATTATTTGGCAGGACGATGGCAGGCTCAGGGACGATGGCTGCTGTCATCACAAAGGGGAATCAATGACAGATTCAACAGGTTGTTGTTAACCCAATTTTTCCCATTCTGACTAATTTTTTGAGAAAGAATTGCGCCAGCATAAGTACTTGTTATAATTTTGATTACTGGATATCTCCAAGTCGAGACTTTTTGACTTTTAGCTTTGATTAAGCGAAGGTAAACTTTGTTGTCAAGTCTATTGATGCCTTTGAAAACACATCCCCAAGACTTTGTGTGTGTGTGTAATTTTTTGTCAATTTTAATGGCAGTTTGCATGTTTGTTTTAACCATCACTCAATAGCAACCATTATTGCCCCAGGGGACAAACTTTCACTTCGATTTGCCGCCAGGCTGACTTTTGACTCAACTTTCAATCGATGAGCGTGTCCTTTGCTCCTGCTCCTGCTCCTGTCCCGATTGTCCTTTGATTGTGAGTTCGTCTTTATTTATATGGCCCAGGATTTTTATCGCTTCAACCACATAGATAGAGTCGACAGACAACAATTTTGCACAAATTATTCTGGCAAAGTTTTTGTGCTTTTCTTGTTTTGTTTTTGGTTTCACTTCAGTTACCTTTTTCGAGACAATATCCAGTAGTTCTGAGATCTCAGGGGTTTATTGTTTGACATGAAATTCCAATGGGAAATAAAAGCATTTAAATAAAAAAGGAAGCTAAGTAAAGAACACTGAAATTACTATGTATATCCTTGCAGTGAATATTTATTATAACTCTGTCAAAAATTAATTAATTTTGAATTGGAAAGTTGTTCTATGTTAGTTTTTATTTGGTTAAAAAATCTGCATACCAGATAAAAAATTAAAATGTTATATCAATTTTTGACAATTTTAACGATGTAACCCTTTATAAAATTTTCAAAAAATTAAAAATAAAATTATTTTTCATCAAACATGACTAGATCGATTCGGTTTTTTGTGCTGATCAAGAATTTATATGATTTATAGGGTCGGAAATAATTCCTTCACATTGTTACAAGCTTCTGACTGAAATTATAATATCCTGCAAAGGATATAAAAAGGAATTAAATTTATAGAAATATATTAAGAAGTCATAAATAATGGTTCCTTGATATTTGAATGTTATTAACATAGAACATCTTCATACTACTTTTGCAC